CATCTCGAGCACACTAAATTTATAAAAGATGTAATTTTGCATGTGATGTCCTCAGGTTATTATTCTCGAGCATCTAGTTTTTAGGCATTGCCTTTCCTATAATCTCGAGCATAAAAAATCTTTAACTCTTAGAGACATCCTCGAGCATATTAAATTTAAAAGGATATTATCTCGCAAGTGATGTCCTCGATATAACATCATCGAGCAATATTTTTAGTGTAAGAGTAGCCTAGTATAATGATTGATGACTCTTGTTCGTATTCGTCTCGAGGACTATTCAGGTTTGGGAACTATATTGGTGTTCCCTTTGTTGAGGCCTTGGAGGACGTATACCAAACACCACAAGGAATGGGACACCTGCAGTCACCATTAACCTGAGGAATGGTATCACTCATCGAGGACATTCGTCATTGTATGTCTCGAGCACGCTACTCGTGTATTTCGTTTTGAAGATTTAGGGGGAGCAATGCGACTGACCACATCCCAGGGGCATGCAAGGTGGCGCTGCATGTGATATCTTGACGACATGGAGCAAGATCATGTCACGAGGACTCCAGTGCTTGAGGACATAAAGTCAAACCGTATCTCGAGGACATGGGTTTAGGTGATATCTTGAGGACACTTAGTTGGACCACATCTCAAGGACTTTCAGTGAAAAACTCTCGAGGACACAGATTCAAATCATATCTCAAGGACACTGAGGATGTTAATTCTCGAGCCTTGTCAATCGAAGCCGTTTGTAGATCTAGGTGTTGATGTGTTCGGGCATATCGCGTTGCTCGGGATTTTCTCTTGGTGTTATTTTATGAATCAAAGCTTCTTATGGACAGGGCATGGCTTTGTACGCTTGCACAGGGCAAGGCTTTTTGTGCTTGCGTGGGGCAAGACTTTTAGTACTTGTATGGGGCACGGCTTTGTGTGCTTGCACGGGACAAGGCTTTTAGGTGCTTGAGCAGGACAAGGCTTTTTGTTGCTTACTCGGGGGCAACGCTTTTTGTGGCTTACTCGGGGGCAAGGCTATGTGTGCTTGCACGGGGCAAGGTTTTTAGTGCTTGCGCGGGGCAAGACTTTTAGATGCTTGCGCAGGATAAGGATTTTTATTGCTTGCTCGAGGCAAGACTTTTTGTTGCTTGCTCGGGGACAAGGCTTTGTATGCTTGCACGAGGCAAGGCTTTTAGTGCTTGCGCGGGGCAAGGCTTTTTTTTGTAATGTGATATATCATCGAATTTAACTTTAGCTGTAATATACTTTATAAATGAACTTAGCACGTAGGCTTGAAAAAAATAGTCTTGGCACGTAGGCTAGACAAATGATAAAAAATTGATTTGGCACGCAAACCTTATTAATGATAAAAATTGACTTGGCACGTAGGCGTTATTAATGATAAAGAATTGATTTGGCACGTAGGCCTTATTTCTGAAACATGGTGGAGTGAGTTACTTGTAATATACCTTTAAGTTTTTGGCATTCCATGGTCTTGGGAGTGGTCTTCCCGAAGTATCCTTCAAACTGTATGCACCTCCTAGGAGTTGTCGTATGACATCAAAGGGCTCTTTTCAAACTGGATCGAGTTTTTTCGGAGCATGACCAGCGGCTTTGGCCCTTCTTAACACCAAATCTCCAGCTCTGAATCTTCATGGCCTTACCTTTCTATTGAAATATTTTGCTGCTCTGTCTTGGTAAGAGGCCATTCTTAAGGCTGCCTGATCGCGAACTTCTTCCAAGAGGTCGAGATGTTCGGTGGTGCGCCCTGCTTCTTCGAGTTCAAGTCTTCTTTTACTGGGTAACCTTATTTCAATGGGAATGGTAGCTTCGATTCCGAAAGCTAACATGAAGGGGGTCTCCCCAGTGGCAGTCATGTGGGATGTTCTGTAAGTCCAAAGTATGGAGGGCAACTCGTCGGACCAGGCACCTCTTGCATCTCCAATCCTGGATCAGAGGTCTTGCAATATAATCGGATTGGTGACTTCGGCTAGACCATTACTTTGGGGATGAGAACTGATCTCAAATCTCTATAGAGGAGTTTTAACTGCTTTGAGCTGTTTAGGAGAGATCCCCATTTTAGTGAGAGCCTCCTGCGAAAGTATATTTGCTGCACTCCCATTATCAACTAGAATCCTCTTTACTTCGAAATTAGCCACAATTGCAAAGACGACCAAGTCATCGTCATGAGGATATGATACTCCTTCCAAATCTCTTGCTCCAAAGGTAATATCTTTGAGTTTATCATGGGATTTCTTTGAGGTATGAGCAGTTGGCGGGCATATTACTTTCGCCTACTACTGTGTCTCCTCAGATATTATGCCTCCAATGATGATAATAATGGTCCCGACAGTGGGTTGAGCATTTCTTCCGGCTCCAGGATCTTTCCGATTGTCACGGTCATTCCTCGGGCGTTTATTATAACCAATATAATTCCTTAACAGCCCTCTTTTAATAAGGGCTTCAATTTCCCGCTGCAAGGCTTGACAATCCTCCGTGGTATGCCCATGATATCAATGAAATTCACAATACTTGCTCCTATCTCTTGTGTTCGGGGACAACTTCATTCTCTAAGGTCACCTCAACTCTTTCATATCTTTGATCTCCATTAAGATATTTACCTTCGAGGTGTTCAACCGGGTGAGAGGCTCTGGTGGCCCTTCATTCTTGCCCTTTTCCCGAGGATGCTCTTGTCCAAAAATGAGATCATGTTGCTTCCTGCTCTCGTTCTTTTCATGGGAAGGACCAGATCTCCTTGGATTCAGCATTTCCTCCATATTAATGTATTTTTCAGCTCGGGGTGAGGAGCTCGATCACTGTTTGTGGTCGGGTCTTTGATAAGGACATCTTGAAGACTTCACACCTTATGGCGTATATGAGGGCAGAGACAGCCGCCGTAAGAAGAATATTTCAATTTGTTGAGCTGGGAATATGACAATATCTCTGGCGTGAATGGGGTCTTAGGGGTAAAACCCGTTGGCCCCCGAGTATTCCGTTGCAGGCCAGCTGTAATTCCTTCTTGAACGATTCGGGCAATCTCTCCAAAATTCATAGCAACCGACCTCGAGCCCTAGGCCATATTATAAATACCCGAGGTTCCTACTCCGCTAATTGCGGGGTTTGGTGGTCAGTCTTAAGCACCAGCCATAAAAGCACCATGCTCTGCCTACGTAGCTCTTCGAAGGCTTCAGTTGTGACGATTGCTTGTTAGGGTGCGGGCACTTCTGACGACTCTTCTTGAGGAGCCAGTTGATCTTCAGTAGGATGAGGGACGGAAGCGGATGAGCTTGCGGGAGGAAGACTTGATCGCGTGTTAACCATGACTTTTGGCAGCGTTTTCCACAGAAGGTGCCAATGATGCTACCAAAAATCGTACATGTTGATTTCCCGAACTTGAGGAGTTTGAATGAGCACAATCGTAGTTTTTCAGTACCTGAAACAAATACAACAAGATATGTTCTCGTCACCCCTCCGATACTTAAGTCAGAAAGGAAATTATGTGCATGAGGTATAAACTTAGAATAATGTGAATGTACCTGAATAATGTCCAAGATTGGTGTTTATAGAGGTAGGTAGTGTACTCCTAGTAGGATTGTGCCTGTTGGACGTATTTATCCAATAGAGTCCTGTTTGAGAAGAATGTCTTATTCGTAATAGAATTTTATGATAGGTGGTGTTAGAGTTGATAAAGAGTCCTCGGGGGTTTAGGTGTCTGTTCGTCAACCATATACATATATATCGAGGACCTCTCAATGAATACTTACCCGAGGACATATTCTCAAGAAAGTAAGAGGTGAGTTTCCATAGTCATGTGAGTAAGTCCTCGAGGATGCAATCCTCGAGGATTAAAATAGTCATCGAGGACTAACATATCTCGAGGACCTCTTGGCAGAAAAGTGGGGCGGAACACGTAGGCGGTCCTCGAGGAATAGTCCTCAGGGTTTGGAATATTGGTACTATCACCACCTAATGAACATGGCTAACTAATTGCTTTGAAGTAAAGCATATTTTGTCCAATTGAATTAAGGATAATTAGCACAAAATATTCACATTGTTTGCACTCCTTGTACAAATCATCCCTATCGTTTCAAACCTGACAATTGCACCTTCATTTCAATATTTTCTTGCGGAGTTGGACCTTTCCATCTCTTTTTGTCAATTCCTTCAATCAAATATGAATAATTGGTGCAAAACTTTGCATTCACTGCACAAAAAATCCATACCATTTATTTTCTCCATTAAAACATTGTAAAATCACCAATTCACCCTCCTCTTTAAATAAATAAAAAGAAAAGAGATAAATAACATAAAAAATAAATTACTGTCGATAGAGTTCCAACTTTTAAAAAAATTATAAACAAATCTCACGTAAAATAATTTAAAAAATACTCACAAAATAAAAAAATACTTCATCTTCCTATTAAACCCCACCTATCCTCCACCATCACCAAAATAAGTAAAAACTGTGTGAGAAGTGTAAAAAGTAGTAAGAAAAGAATTTAACTATTTTTCCGTAATTATGTTTCGTTTACAAATATCGTTTTGTTTTCAGCATAGTTACAATAATTTATTTTTATTTTTATTTATTTTAAAAAATGTAGCTATTTTTAGCAATTTATTGTTTCTATCTTATTGTTGCTAATTACACACTTCATTAACTTTTAAATTTTGCTCTAATTTTGTTCCAATTACCTTTGCCTCAGAATGATTTCTCTAAAAAAATCCAAAACTCTAGATAGGATATACTCCTTAAAAATAAAAATTATCTCGAGAGTACTACAAAAATATATACAAATAAAACAAGTTTTAGAAGCTGTTTGGCCCCCATTACGGGGAAAATTTAATGTATAGAATAGTGTTTTTTGAAAAATGAGTGGTTGAAAAAGAAAGAAAAATTTTCGATTTACGTGTAATATTATTTTATGGAAGATTGTGTGGTTAAAAATAGGAGAGAGAAAAATAGAATGTAATGTAATGAAAATCAAACAAGGGCTTATTCAACAAACATAGATAATTACACTTCAAAAGTCAACCATTTCACCCAAAAACACAGTTGTGAAATAACATGCACCAATTCATATGCACGCATACAAATACGTGAGCCTTCAAATCAATTTCTTGATGTTTATCGTCTTTAACCAGAAATCTCAATGGCTTTGACATCAGGCTTCTTCACCTCCTCTTTGGGCACAGTTACAGTTAGCACACCATTCTCCATGCTGGCCTTAACCTGATCCATTTTCGCATTCTCCGGCAGCCTGAACCGCCGGAGGAATTTGCCAGAACTCCTCTCCATACGGTGCCAGGTATCATTCTTCTCCTCTTTCTCCCTGCTCCTCTCGCCACTAATCTGCAGTATGTTACCTTCCTCAACCTCAACCTTTACTTCCTCTTTCTTCAGCCCCGGAAGGTCGGCCCTAAATACGTGGCCTTCCGGCGTCTCCTTCCAGTCAATCCTAGTGGCAGCAAACTGAGATGTCTCGTTGGAAAGGTCGGAACGAATCTGAGTGGACAGGGCAGAACTGAACGGCCAGTCTTGAAAGGGGTCGAGAGAAAATGGATCCCAGATATTGTTTCGTCGGCCAAAAACACTTGGAATTAGCGACATTTTTCCGAAAAATTAAATGGAAGATTTACATAATTTAGTTGTAGATTGTAGTGTGATCAAACTGTGAGAAAACTAAATATTGTTCGATGGAACTCGTCGTGATGTAGAAAATTGGAAGTGGAAGAATTTATAGGAGAGCATACGGTTGAATGTGCAAGTTACATGAAAAATATGGAGAGTTCGCGAGCATTCGGGGAGAAATATCCATCTTCAAAAACTTTTCCACAATAAGATATTCTAGAGCAGCCTAGAAATGTTTGTTTAATATTACCAATTTTAGGTGGACACGTGTCTTAACTCCACCCCCACCCGCCTTCTCATTTTTTAGGTTTTAGCCTTTGTTTGGTACGCTAAAACATCAAATTTAAATTTAAATCAAAATAAATAATTAATTCTAGCAAATTTGTCAGTGGAGATTTTAATTTAAATTTAAATTCACAATTAATTTTAACCACACATTTTATGTGATCCATAATTTTTAAACCATACATTTCATCAACTTTTATCAAAATTTATTAAAAATTTAATTTTTTTAATCCTCACCAGTTGCGTTAGCGTGGCGACCTGCTGACGTAAGGTCTCTTTGGATTACAATATCTTTTTGACAATATTACAACAATAGCTTACATTAATTAGAACAAACGAGTGTAAGGTCTCTTTGGATTGTAACAATAGACACGCAAGTGCACGTGCTTATTAATGTTTCAAGTAACTTTATGTGCTCGTATATTTACATACGTCCTAATCCATCATACACATAATAGAACATCCATTCTCAAGCTTTTACGTAAGTCTCGAAGTTATGAAAAATGACTTTTTTAAGCATGTGTGATTAAAAAGCGGGAAAAAAATATATCCCATGTGCAAAAGAATTTCAAAACTATTACTTCAAAGAGATTTTTGTTGTTTCCATGCCTAGTATCTTTACTACAAGCAAAGAAATTGATGGAAAAACATTCATGTACTAGTTTAAAGGATTTTGTAAACCCATTATCAGAGGATTTACCTGGTGCTTCGCGTGACAGTCGAGTAAATTTTACAATTGATTTAGTACCAGGAACGAGGCCAGTATACAACACTACCTGCCAAATAACACCAAAGAAATTGTAGGAGTTCAAAATACAATTACAAAAATGAAATATGGATCGATAATTTTGCGTATAAATGATTGGGAGTTGAATAGTTTAACCATTAAGAAAAAATAACATATTTCAAGAATAGAAGATTTTTTCGACAAGTTGAAGGGAGCTAAGATATCTTATAAGAATGGCTCAAGGTCACGATATCTTGAACTGAATGTTAACTCATGTGACATTCTAAAGATGGAATTCTGAAATTGCTATACGGGCACTATAAATTTCTGGTCAATTTATATTTATATCTTTTAGTGTAATTAATGTTTCGGCATTTTCTTGGATCTAATACTAGAGTTGTTCATCAATATCTAGATCAAATTATTATAGTATTCACTAGCGACATTATGTTGTAATCTATAGGATAATTGGTAGCAAGAGAAGCAACTCGAAATGGTGTAGTACACATTGCACATAGAGAAGTTATATCCCAAATTCAAGAAATGTGAATTTTTTCTTGATCGAATAGGTTTCCTCAATCATGTTATGACTTACTATAGAATCAAAGTTGAATCGACTAATTTGGAAGTTGTGAACAATTCTAGACCACTGAACGTTAACGAAGTTTGTGGCATTTTAGGATTGCCGGACTATTATCAAATATTAATAGATGTTTTCACTAAGATGGCTAGATCGATGACTCATTTGATAAGAAAGGCATTAAGTTCTAGTATATAAATGTGAATATAGCTCCCCAAGAGTTAAAAACAGTGTTTAGTTATAGCAACAAACTTTTTTTTTTTATTATTTTTTTTATTTTTAATGACGGGATAACCCACAACCGCTATCTTTCGGGGTGCGAACTGGGTAAAACCTCGGGCTGACACAATAGCCTGCAAACCATGCCAGCCAAATAAATCGTACTAGGCAAGCCCGGTACGACATGTTCAACTGAAAAAGTGTTGGTAGAGAAAATCGAACTCGTGATTAAAGGCCTTCGAGTTCACCTACTTCACCAACTCAGTCACCCCATGAGGGTCTAGTTATAGCACCAATCTTGACAATACTGGCTGAGGGTTTATAGTTTTTTGAAATGTTGTATAATGACCCAATTTTCATCTTTATCTACTACAATTTTTTAATTTATCAAATTTGCCACCTATAGAACATGGCTAACTAATTACTTTGAATTAAAGAATATTTTCTCCAATCGAATTAAGGGTAATTAGCAAAAAATGTCCACATGATTTGCACTCATTGTGCAAATCATCCCTATCATTTCAAATTTGACAATTGCACCCTTATTTCAACATTTTCTTGCGGAGTTTAACTTTTCTGTCTTTTTTTGTTAATTCCTTCTTTCAAATATAGATAATTAGTGCAAAATGTTCCAATCGCTCGTCTTAATTGTGCAAAACATCCCTATCACTAGCATTCATTGCACAAAAAGTCCTTACAATTTATTTTCTCCATTAACATATTGTGAAATCACTAATTTACTCTCATCTTTAAATACATAAATGGAAAAGAGATAAATAACATTAAAAATAAATAATTGTAGATAGAGTTCCAATTTTTTAAAAAATTATAAATGGGCCTCACATAAAATAACTTTAAAAAATACTCACAAAAGAAAAATATTTCATCTTTCTATTTAACCCCACCTACCCCTACGTCCATCCTCCACCCACCGCTATCACCAAAATAATTAAAAAGCGTATTACAAGTATAAAAAACAATAAGAAAAGAATTTAACTATTTTTCTATAATTATGTTTCGTATTCCAATATCTTTTTGTTTACAACATAGTTACAGAATTTTTATTTTTTTTTATTTTTTCATTTTTAAGAATTTAACTATTTTCAGTAATTTATTGTTTCTATCTTCTTGCTAATTGCACACACTACATTAATTTCTAAATTTTGCCCTGATTTTGTTCAAATTACTTTTGCCTTGCAAATGATTTCTGAAGAAAGTTCATTCAAGATCTTAATCCAAACCTCAATTCTAATTGTTCTAATTCAAACTCAGCTAAAAGAAAAATATTTTTTTAATATAATTAATATTATTTTAATTGGAATTCGTTTTCACTTTTTGAAAATCTTAGGACTTTGACTTCATTTATTTCTTTTCTATTTTTTTTTTATTCGAAGAAGAGGTAAATTAATTATTTTACGATACTTTAACGGTGAAAATAAACGATAGAGGCTTTTTACACATTAATGAAGGCAAACGATAAGAGCATTTTGCGTAATCAAAGCAAGTGATATGAGATTTTTGTACCAATTACCCATATTTGATGGAATGAGACAAAAAGGACCAATATGTGAGAGAATATTAAAATAAAAGTGTAAATATCAAATTTAAAATGATGGAGATGTTTGCTTACAGTCTAACGATTTTTTTACACTATTAATTTCAATTATTCACCCCACTTAAGTAAGTCCAAATGATACTAGAAGGATGCTAAATTTAATTAAGAAATTAAAATTAAAGTATTCAGCCTAAACGAGAAGCCTGGAATAGAAACTGCAATGTCTCCCAGGAAAAAAAAAAAAAGGATAAAAGATTTTTGTACATAATTTTTTATACATAAAAATATCAATTCTCTCACGTGCCGTGAGGTCCACTTGAATATTTTATTCGAGCGGCCCCACCTATGGGAGAGGATGAACACCCCTATGTACCAAAAATTATGTACCTCTAGCATTTATCGCAAAAAAATCGTAAATATACGACCTTGAAAGGAAAAAGGAAAAAAAAATCCCGATCCGAATCGTCCCGCCACGGCTAGTCAACTACAAAGGCATTTTTAGCTCAGCTTAGGCCCTGTTTGACACCTTTTAGTTTAATTTTTGCTACAGGATCATTTTCAACTACACATTCACACAATAAAATATTGTACACGTAAATCCATAACCTTTTTCATCATTTTCAATCACACATTCTCCAAAATAATACATTTTAAACTATGTTTTTAGAGTTTTAGGGCCACCGAACAAGGACTAGATGGAATGTGAAGAATACATTCTTTTGGAGACTTAAGCTGTCATTGAAATCGAATAATGCTGAGTGTATACTCTTTTTAATAGCTCATTCACAATCGTGAAGTCTGCAATTATTTTAATCGTGGACCCTGTTATGCCCCTAACCGAACCACTTCAGAACATCAGGCACACCACTCCCTGAAGTGCCACGTCTCCATCCGAAGTGGTTTGGAAGTGATCCGACGACCCTCAACTTCATGCGCTGCGGGGCGCAGGATAGATCCACTGAATCAACCGAAGTCTTCCCTAATGCCGAAGCGTTAGGCACTTCGAGGTGCTCATTTAACAGATCCCTCCGTCACCACTTTCAGAAAGATATCTATGTCAAGATCCTCTCTACCTCCAAGGATTAATTGATGTGACGTCTCCATAGATCTAGTTGATGTGACGTATCAACTTTATGTCAACTTGACTCAAAAGAATTAATTGTCCGCCCACTCTAGATGCGGCTGATTAACGCCTATGAGCAAACGTCTCACACTGTCAGATGCATATACGTGGTCAACATCCAACGGTGCTCCACGTCTATAAATACCCAAGGCTTGGCAAGGGGGAAAGGTAATGAAACTTTCACAACTTAGCTCTCCATACTAAGAAATAATTATATTCTCCTCCCCACTCTCCTGTACAATTTGAGCATTGTTCCAATCACATAAAACTGACTTGACCGTCGGAGTGTATGCGACCGTCATCACCCCCGTTGGTTTCGGCCGTATGTTTCTAACCGTGCGTTGTCGTGCCCAGGGAGGATTACGTGGAGTGGCTATTCGTTGGCCACGTTGATGGTCTAATTCGTGAGGCCAACAGATTGACGCCATCTGTGGGAAATTTCCAATCCAAAAGTTCCATATTTTCCGTCAGAAAAGCCATCGGGAAACCGTTAACTTATCTTGAAAAGGGTATGTTCTTGAAAAAGAACAAAGTCAACCTAGAATCTAAGTTCTTAACACCCTTGAAAAAGTAGTGGAGAAGATGAGTTCTAGTAATGAGGATGCAAATCTTGGGTTTAGAGATGCCTCTGAAGAAGA